GCTGTGAACGGCGTCTATTCACACCTCCAGCTGTGAATAGCCCGCGCGCGTCTCGAAGCGGCTGCGAGACGCGACGCTGACCGCGAGACTCGAGGCCCACGCGGAGCGAGGCGCGAGCGGCGAGCTGCGGCTGCGGCTGGCTCGTACGGTGATTCCCTGAGTAACCAATTGCCAATGAGGCGCGAGCGGCGAGCTGCGGCTGCGGCTGGTGCGGCTGCAGAAGGACCTGCCCCTGCTGAGCGGCGCCGAGCTCTCCGCCGCGAGGCGCACGCTCCACTCGGGCTGGCCCCGTATCTCCCCATATCTCCCCATATCTCCCCATATCTCAGGCGCACGCTCCAGTCGGGCTGGGCGACGCTGCGGCAGTGGGAGGAGCGGATGAGAGACGACATCCTCGCGTCGGCCGAGGTCATCTGCAGCACCCTCATCGGCGCTGGTTCGGAGTCGCTTTGCGGCCGCACCTTCTCGCTTGTGGTGATCGACGAGGCGACGCAGGCGACGGAGCCCCGCGCCTCCATCGCCCTCGCCCTCGCCCGCGGCCGCGTGGTCCTTGTCGGCGACCCGCAGCAGCTTCCGCCCACGACGCTCTCCGAGGAGGCGCGCAGGGCGGGCCTCGCCGTCTCGCTGTTCGAGCGCGCCCTCGCCGCAGGCGTCGCCCCGTATCTCCCCATATCTCCCCATATCTCCCCGTATCTCCCCGTATCTCCCCGTATCTCCCCGTATCTCCCCGTATCTCCCCGTATCTCCCCGTATCTCCCCATATCTCCCCCATATCTCCCCATATCTCCCCATAATCCATATCTCCCCATATCTCCCCATATCTCCCCATATCTCCCCGTATCTCCCCGTATCTCCCCATATCTCCCCGTATCTCCCCATATCTCCCCGTATCTCCCCGTATCTCCCCGTATCTCCCCATATCTCCCCGTATCTCCCCGTATCTCCCCGTATCTCCCCATATCTCCCCATATCTCCCCGTATCTCCCCGTATCTCCCCATATCTCCCCGTATCTCCCCGTATCTCCCCGTATCTCCCCGTATCTCCCCCATATCTCGCCCTCGCCGCAGGGGTCGCCCCCGTCGTGCTAACCACTCAGTACCGCATGCACCCGCTCCTCGCCGCCTTCTCGAGCGCAGCCTTCTACCGCGGCGCCCTCACCAACGGTGCCGACCCCGCCTCCCGCCTCCCGCCGCCGCGCTGGCCGAGCAGACGCCCTCTCCTCTTCGTCGACGCCGCTGGACGGCGCGGGGGCGAGAGGGCGGCGCCCGGCGGCGTCTCCGTCCTCAACCACACCGAGGCGCACTCTCGGGGAATCTCGCGGGGAATCTCGGGGAATCTCGGGAAGCCTCGTGGAATCTCGGGGAATCTCGGGGAATCTCGGGTAAGAGGGGTCTCCGTCCTGCACACCGAGGCGCGCGCTGTCGCTGACGTGGTGGCTCGCGTGTGCGGGCGGGAGGGCGGCGCGGCGCCGTCCGACGTCGGCGTCGTCTCGCCGTACCTCGGCCAGGTCGCCTTGCTCAAGCAGCTGCTGGCCAAGCAGGGACGCGAGGAGGCGAGGCAAGCCCGCGCTGGCG